GTATAAACGCTTATCGTAGCACATTTGGGTTCCAGGTGGAAATGAAAATTCGGCGGCTAGTTCCCTTTGCTTTTCAAGACTCAGTTTTGGTGGTATCTGAGAGAAATAGTTGCATATTAATAAGTGTGTGTAAATAAATGTGCCGGCCGCATACATTATATAGGGCAGTGTTGAGAACACCTTGTACCAGCGGCGCCTTAACATGGGCGTCCAGTGGCAGTTCTGAATGTAAACTAGGTGATATATTGACCTCCAGGAGCCAAGGTACCAGATCCGAGTCCAATATCACATCAAAGCCAAACAGTTCAAAGCAACTATACTTGGACTCCACATTTGCTCTAATCATGCTGTTAATGCCATTCTCTCCGGCTAGAATAGTGCGCAAAACAAGACTCCTTAAGGCCTCCCAGAGGCCATCGGTGCGCACGCCACGATTAGCCAAATATGTCCACAATGACTTGATGGTCCACTTGTGTCCATGACATGCATTCACATCCTCATTCTTCGAGTAGTTTGATGAAAACTTGTTGATGCTATAGTTGGTTAAATGCATACAACGATCATTTAATGTATCCGCTTTGGCACTGTATTTTACTGAAGTTTGGACAGAGTTAAGTAAATATTCGAACTGCTTTAAGATCTAGCTTACCAGATGCAAATCTAGCTAGACCATTGTGATACATAAACACTCTCAATGGATTAACAGATGTAACCAGTACATACAGCCGCAGGTCGAATTTGCTACCATTAATTAACAACGGACGTTCAATGTATCTAAAAATGTAAACAAATTAATATATGCATTCATCAAATACATAATATTGATAATACACCCACTTCTGCACGATGAGTGGTCGTCGTTTGGGTATCTGACCCCAACGGTTGACCACGCGTATGCCAGCACCACGGGCACTCGCTGGCGGCTTTATAATCCACTTTGTATTGCGTTGCGCGTATTTTGGCCAACGTTTGCGCAATGCACAAAGATCATTTGGTATTACATAGGTGCGCGGCATAAAGCCAAACTCCCTGTTACTATGTTTCTTCATTTGTCGTTGCAAATTCTTCCAGCATGAATCCTTACGGCCAATGCGAAAAGAGCCTGGCAAGTGATTTATCTTCTGATATGAACGAATTGTTTTGAAACATGGAGACTTTAAATGCTTGCCCCACACGCCCATCCAGTCGTTTGTTTCTAAAAGCTATCAAATTACAATTTTTCAAATCATTTATATGGCATTAAATACTTACTTTTCAACATTCGCATGCCACTATTTGCCAATATGAGTCGTACAACTTTTGGCATAATATTTGTTACACGCCATTTTAACACCCTATGCAGCTCTGGAGGCACATAGGGGCCTCTTTTGGTGTTCGATGAAAATGATAGATAGGGTGGAACATATGGAAAGAGACTTGATACTAGTACCGAATCTGGATTTCTTAAATCTTCGTCGGATGACTGAGTTAAGAGCAATGTTGACGAATTTTTCGACGATGACAGTAAACGGTCACCGGAATGCGTCAGTTTATATGCATGTGCCCTATAACCGTCTTCAGTGTCCGAGCTAATACTAACCGTATCGCTCTCATCAAAGTTTGAGACTGTAATTGCAATTAAATCATTGAAGTTTTTGTAAGAGTTGATATAATAATACTTACTGTTATCTAAATCGTCATCATTATCATAATCGGGGTCACGAAAATCGTTGAGTTTAGCATCTGGATCTTCTAAAATAAAGCTAGTGACTTGATCACCTGCACCTTGACCTTTGGGATGTGGGGGCTTTACGTTTTGGCTGCGTAAATTAGACGAGTGATGCTTACGTGCCGAACGGGGGCTCTGATTATTATATAAGAGTACTCGATGAACAGTGGGTAATAGCTTCTTGGCAGTCGCTTGTCCACCTCTGATTCTTTTGGGTGTCAGTGGCAGTCGAGGCAGCGGCAGAGGTTCGGTGGCTTTTTGTGTTTTCTTTGTTAAATTATTCTTAACTGACACGGATTCTCCTGTTTTGTTGACTTCATTGATATCGCCCAGTTGAATGCAGCGACGATGGATTGGCATACTCGGATTGAATTGTTCATCGTTGTTTGCTTTTGGATCATAAACATCTTTTCCATTAAGTATTTCTACAGGTGTTTTCAAAGCAGACTTTTCTGGTCGGTCGACAGGGTAATCAATCCAATCGCTATCACTATAGCCAAATGGCAATTCATTATTCTCTTTTAATAAATAACTATCATATTCTACGTTTTGGTTATTATCATTGGCTGTGCCTCTACGCGTGGCATTGGACGAGCGTTTACTCGGTGTATCCTGATATAAGCTCATTTGTGGTTTGTACGCCGCAATTGGTGACGATTTTGGTAACTTCTCTTGGCCACGATTGTAAAAGTACGAGAAATAGTGCTCGTAATGCTGATCGGTCGAATGGAAACGTGGACGTTCAGAGCTATAAAGGGGGAAAGTTAGAGCTTGAATCAATTTCATATCTCAAAAGCGTTTTCAACTAATTCTATGCAATGTGTTTTTGTTTCTAAAAAAAAAGTATAAGACATAAAAAGTGACTAGCGGTTAAAATAAAAAAATAACAACAATCAAATCAATAAAATGTGTCACATTTAGTGTTTAAGCTGGATATTAAGCACGGGGATATTTTTACAATTACATTATAGTACTCCATGATTGCTCGATCGGAGGTGATCTGTGGCTGTGCGGGTATGTGGAGCCCTCGTCCAAATATTCACATGTACTGTTAGCTCTTATCTGCCGCTTGAGTTGATCCTTTTCATGGGATGCTTGCGAATACTTTGTCAACTCCTGGTTGGCAGGCGCACTATTACTATGTCCATAATGCCGCCCCTTGTGCTGTGTTGGACCATTGTAATAGTCTGCCTGTTGTCTTGGCTGCTGATACACGTGGCTATTGTTGTTGGCCGCTGTTTTTCGCGGCGCAAATGAGCTTGAAAATGTGTTTGCGTAGGGCCCTTGATCTGAGCCAGGTACTAAATAGTTAGATCTGCTTATTTGTCTTGATGCCGTATTTTTTTTAGATGGACTTGGATTTGATGAACAATTTGGACTCTTCAAATTCCAAAATGGACTTATTACGCTTCCGTTCTTATAATAATTAAATGCATTGTTGTCAACGCTGCAATATCGCAAATTATGATCATTGTGGCTATCGTTGTTGTTGCTAACTCCATTGTTGTTATTTAAATACTGACTGGACTGGCTCTTGTGGTGCATTTCGGGCGCTTTTCCATACACTTCTGAGCCGTTATACATAAACATATTACTATTATATTAAAGGTACACACGCTTGCACCTGGTGGATAAAAAAGAGCACAATTATTGTGTAATGATTTAATACAATAATGCCTGGTAGTAGTAGTAGTTTTATGGTATACCCTTGCAAAAGATGTTCTAATTCGTCACGAAATATGTAATACAGAAAAGTAAACATTTTGCTATCTCATACATTACATTGTTTCTTTATATGTATTTATGTTGCTACTCAATCATCTCAGTTAACAAACTTTACATACTCAAGTTGGCCAAACCAAAACACTATCAAAGTTAATTTCATGACTGCTTTTTTTAGCCAAGCACGTCAATTCTGAATTACATACGTGAAATCTAATATCATAATTCGAATCCAACTGAACTATCGTTGTATAACTGATTATTCTTAAGAAAATATTTTTGTCTGCGATGGTATTTTATCTTCGAAACTTCCATTTTAATAAATAATACTTTGAAGAAATGTACAGACTGGTTTTGGTTAATATTAGGCCTTCCTTAGAAATAAAGGAAATACATTTTGCAGCACAATATTAAAAAAATATATATATTTCTATATTTCCTGGAGAATTCTATAGGTATCTTAAGTATACAACTATAAATAGGGGTAACCTAAAATTTACATATTACACCGACTCTTTAATAATTTACATTAATATTTTAATATTTGAATGTTGGCACTCCTTAAGCAAAAAATTAGATTACAAATTCAATTTTGAAAAACTTACCGCGTTTAAGTTCTGTGACCTTCACTTTTATGATTTGTGCTACTTTTTTGCAAGCAAGTATCAGCTGGCGGTGTGTGGGGGTTGTTGAATTTAGGTCACAAACATGATATCCTTAAGCGAGGTGTTGTAACTCCTTTGCACACTGTGTTGGGGGCAATCACAATGAAATTTCCAATCGCAAACAAAACGTTGTGACAAGGGGGCTTTGTCAAAATCTCAACGCAATGCAAAAGAATGGTTAAAAGGTTTTATATGTACCTAGAAAATTAGCGAGTTGAGTCAAAGCCGAACTGCATGTAAATTCACAATACACTTTTTACCGCTATTCCTGTATTTGATGGTCTAAATGAATGCAAATGTATTTAATTTGTATACGTAGGTGCTTAAATTGTGTGTGTTAAACGTGCCACTTATAACTATGAAAAATAAAGTTTTAATTTTGATGTAAATATCAATTGTAGATAGAGCAAACAAAACAAAACACACACAAAACCTGCGACCTCAACACGTGTAGTTCAGTTCTGAACAATAAATTTGGTTCATTGTTCGGAACAAGTAATGAAGAACTAGTATTGCTCATTCACCTGTTAACTTAACAGTCTGTTAACTGTGAGTGGCGAAAGCAAAATTTCATTTACAGGATTTTTTGCCTACTTTGCTTTAGTTTTCCAAAAATAAAACTTGCTTATAATAAAGCATTTAATTTATACTACTGCTTGTTATTTTTATGGCTCATACCGTGAACAGCCAACAAAATCCCAATTCACTTTTATGCAGCTGATGTTCATTACTTTCAATTTGAATATTGGATAAACAATATCTAGAATAAGATTGCACATACATTTAATAATAATATTTAAAATTATTTTACTTGTTTACAAAAGCGTTTAAAAATAATTTAGGTGTCAAAATGTTTTTCTGCTTGGGCTCAAAAACTGAAATGAAGATCAATTAATTATCTACAAATAATCATACTTACAAATGCTTAGTTATTTGAAAAATGTGACTTAATAAATTCGTTTCTATTACGTTGTTCCTCGATAGTCGATGTACCATGAGCATAACCTAAAAAGTTGGGCTTGTAGACGGATAAGCAACTATCAGCATCTAAAAATTGAATAGTTTTTAATGAAGGCTTCAAATATGTGTATTAATGGGAATACCTATGCTAGGATCATTCCACTCCATCGCCATGTTATGGAGAACGGCTAATGCGGTAATTGTTTGTTTTGCCGAACCAAATGTTCCTAAGAGTTCACTGCCGAGAATGCCGAAGCGACGCATCCAAACGTTTAGGCATTTTATTGCCGGCGCAAAGGTGATTGCATGTGCATGATTATAGAGATCCTCAGCTTTAGTTTTCGGGTACTGAACGGGAGTGAAGAGACAGGGGGAGCAAGACAAAGAGTCATTTCCAAGCAGAATGCGTCCACGGAATTCATTTTGTTCGAAACGTTCCTTAATCCTCGATAACGAAAACAATTCTGGTGCTGTGCTCAGATCAAGCTCCTCAGAAAGACGTATATCCAGATCTCTGATTTTATGCTCTGCATCTGCAACTACCTGTAAATGCACAAGTTCCTCAATTGGCGCGGGCGATTCAGTTCCACTATAGCAACTCCTAGAAGCCTGGACCCGGGAACTGTCCAATTGCAAACGCACAGTGGTTTGCACGAGAGCTCCAATTACTTGGGGCATATTGGATAAGGATTGAAATGAACGCATCATTCGTTCCTTTTCCGAAAGTGTTGCGGGCATTCTAATATAACTTGATGCCTTTGATGATAATACAGCAGCAACACGACGCGTTATCTTGGCCATAGTATGCAGACTAACGCCGTGCGCCATGGCTGATAGTTCCGGATGCTAAAATTGAGTTTGTGTTAAAATATGTATGTATTCGGTACATGAAAGGCAACTTACCTCAGTGCCGCCGAAAAAACGAATTGCCGATAAAATTTGCAAGTCTATGGGCACTTGGTTTCTTTTCATTGGCGCATAATAGTCAACTTCCAAGTCATCTCGCACAATTTCAATAATTCGTCGCATATTTTCTTTTGTGTACCGGTATTTTTTACGAAATTCAATTTCGTTCATTTCTTCTAATGGGTTGAACCGCGGACGCCTCCGCTTTGCTTTGTTTATTGTGCTTCCTTTATTTTGACTGCAGCGTTTATTATGCACGTGCTGTAGTTCCAAATCCTTGAGATGTTTCACATCTTTCAGAAACTGTTGAAATACGTTTATATCGTCCATTTCTGATAAAAAAAATTATTTTTCGACTTATCCTTTTCCAATTGCGTTTTTTTTTCAGTTCATTAAAAGAAGAAGAATTTTCTGTAACCATAACATTTAGAATTATGTTATTAACAGCATCTTATCAAAATCATTTTAGGCTATCGCGAAAATAATCGAAAAGCCGCGTCAAAAATTAACAGCCCTAACATCGATTATTGTGTTCAGCATTCAAAGTTCGGATCTTAATCATTCGGATCTTTCGTTTTCTGTCGTGAGGACGTCGTTTGATACATTGGTTTTGATTCCTATTATAACGGCGCAATGGGTGATCAAGAACGGGGACGCCGCCGTCCCTTAGACGACTCCGATCGCAGTCCAAGATCAGTGCAAGAGCCGGTAAGTGCTTAAAATGCTTATTACTCTATAGATCTAATTTGTGCTTACAAACATGAAAGATCCAATTACTTGATTGTATGCCTTTTTTGTTACACTCACACACACATAAGTATGTGCGGTATGATTTTGAGCGGCGCGTCGTTTAGAATTCCGTTATCTGCACACTTGAAGCATAAAGCTGAGCCACTTCAGTTGAATATGCTGATGCAGATATTTGACAGCGTACATACATATGTGCATGTTTTTATAAGGCAGAACAATTTGTTCACTTTGAAATATACATACATACAAACAAATGCTTATGGATATGACTATACAAATGTACATATGTATATAATGCGTATGCTTTTATGTATATGCTTTAAACATTCATTTGGTTTTTATTCAGTGTATACAAGCTTCCGTATATTGAATATTTTGTCTTATTTTACTATTGGAGTTGGCAATTAACAGGATTGGTAGTGGATATCATAAAGATGGCGAAAAAAAGGAAAAAGAGAAAGAAAGTAAAATATTCCAAGTGTTTCAAGCTATGCCATGAATATGCCCAATTTTGGATGGAAAATATCTAAGCATGCAAGCATAGTTATATCACTACTCCACATTTAATCATGTCTGAAATATTGTATAGAGTAAATAAATAGCGGCAAAAGAAAAAACGAAGCGCGACAGGCTTAGTTCTCAGGTTACGTCTCTAGTGTGCGCATCAACTACAATACATACATATATATGTAAATAGATAAATTCATGAATACATACACACATGCTGTTCATCACGATATTGTAACTGTAACTACAACTGTAAACATTGTGCATACGACATGTATATACTTGTTTGCAAAATGTGGCGTGTGTATAATAGTATACACATAATCGTGCTCCAATGATTTTTTAAATAAACGATTTTGATTTCGTTTTGTCGAATTATCGATTTACGCAGTGCTGGAACGCAAGAATAATAGGAGTTGCCAGACGATCAACACAAAATATGCCGAGGGGCTCTAAAGGCTTTTTAAGTTTTCGATTCAGCATTAACCAACGACAAGATGGGTATAGCCATACAACAAAATACTACTATGCAGCAGGATCTTTATTATTGCGCTCTTTCAACTGAAAGCGCGAAAAAGCTAAAAATAGAACGTACTCTCAGCATCGGCTCTATAAAGACCATGCAAGCAATTATGTTTGCATGTGTGTTAATATACATAAATACATAACAGCGTATTTGAGCTCTAATGTTTTGTGTGTATGAGGTAAAAAAAATCTATATTTTTCAGTCAATATAATTTCTTTTATTTCATGTGTGTGTGGCATGTCGTGTGAAGTGGGAAAAGCCAGATGACAAGCCAGGCTAGAAATTTAGCTTCGCATTCAAATGTCTGGCGTTACTCATCTTAGGTTTTTTATTGTCTTTGGTAAACCCTTGTAGAAAAAAGAAATGCTTACCTTTTCACAAGATTAGCTGATAAAATGAAATGCACATGCACTCAAAATTCTAAACCATACACTCGATTAAATCTTCTTTTGAAAAATAAGGTATATATGTTATATAAAGTATATTTATAGATATATACACAAATTGGCCAATTTACTAATCTTCTCCAACATTAGTTGTAAAAATAACACTTCTATGCAAGTCTCATTACTTCAAGTAAGACTTACAAATGTTGCTAAAAATTCCTTATTTTTTTGATAAAAAATACTTTTCCAAACATATTGCCAATTACGACTTCTACTATATAAATAAGCAAAATATCAATTTGTATATACAAGTATTTTACAAATGTCTGGTCATTAATTATAAGCTGAAGCTATGCTTTATTAATTTATTTCTTTTTTAGTTTTACTTTTAATCTGTATTTTTATTTTTCTAATTTGTAAACAGCGAGCAAAAGTCTTCCGTGATAATGGACCCCATAATAGAGATAGGTCGGAGGCTTCGAGGTCATACAGAGGAGCTTCATCATACCATGGAGCCTCTACATCCCGTGGCATTGTCGGATCAACAGCTTGCGCGGTAGAAGCCCCATCAGTGTCTGGTGCAAGTGCTCCGTCAACTCATGGCAGTGGTCCCAATACTGAACGCAGGCGGGTTGATCGGTATGAAATTGTTAATTCAAGACCGGCGGATATCGTGACTAAGCGGGGACAGGATGGTACACCAATTAAATTGTTGTCAAACTTTTATCGTTTGAAAACCAAACCACAATGGCGCATTGTCCACTATCACGTGGATTTTGCGCCTGAGGTCGAGGTGGTGCGAGTGCGTTGTGGAATATTATCAGAGCATGCCAGAATCTTGGGCACCGGCTACCTCTTTGATGGCGCCCAGCTGTTTACGACCAAGAAATTTGAACAGGATGTAACAGTGCTGCAGGCAACCTCAAAGCAAGGCGTCAATTATACAATTACAATCAAGTTTGTGGGCTATATATCGGCAGCCGAGCCGCGCTTTCTGCAAGTGTTGAATTTAATTTTGCGTCGTTCAATGAAGGGTCTTAATCTGGAGCAGGTCGGACGTAATCTTTTTGATCCGCACGCACGGGTAATGTATAATGGATATTGAATAGTTTTAGCAAATCGAACTTAACAAATGAGTTTTAAGATTAAACTGTTTGAAGTGGAACTTTGGCCAGGCTACGAAACGTCCATCCGTCAACACGAATCGGATATATTAGTTTGCGCCGAAATCACACACAAGGTGATGCGCTCGGAAACAATTTATGACATACTAAAAAGGACTACCCATTCCGATCGCTATATAGAAGAATGTCGTCTTAACACATTGGGTTTAGTTGTACTCACGGACTACAATAATAAAACTTATCGTATTAATGAATTGGACTTTTCACAATCCCCACTTTCCACATTCAACTGCAAAGGAAAAGATACGACTTTTGTTGAATACTATCTGACGGTAAGTTTGTATCGGTACTACATTTACAATTTTCCAATTGAAATACAAAAATTTGTAATATTCTGTTTATTAGAAATACAATATTCGCATAAGGGACCACCGTCAACCTCTGATCTTATCAAAAAATAGAGACAAAGCCCAAAATAACAAAGCCAATGACATTGTACTGCTTATTCCTGAACTGTGCCGCGTCACTGGACTGACCGATGATATGCGCAAAAAAATGGAGTAATTATCTTATGCCCAATACCAACCAAATCCAATTTTAATATGAAATCGTTTCAGTTTCATGCGTGCATTAGCGAATCATACACGCATGAATCCAGGCAGACGAATCGAACGCTTGCAAACATTCAACCGGCGATTGCAGACAACAGCGGATAGTGTCAAGGTCTTAAAAGATTGGAACATGCAATTAGATGACAAATTAATTGAGGTTCAGGGTCGCGTAATTGCACCTCAACGAATTGTCTTCAATAATAGAAGTCGGTATGTTTTAGAATTACGATTTATTTACATTCTGGCATTAAATAAAATAATTTTCGCTATTTAATAGCGTTTCTGCTGGAGACAATGCAGATTGGACACGTTATTTTCGGGATCAACAGATGCTCACCACACCCAGAGAGGGTTTAGATCGATGGGCAGTTATTGTACCGGAACGCAACTTGCGAGACTTGAAACAGTTGCTGGATAATCTGCACCGTGCCGCAAGAGGAATGGGTTTTAATATCCAGAAACCTCGCGAGTAAGTTCAGTTGATGTACTTATAGGAAGACGGGTGCAATCTGTGTCCTATTTGCACATTTAACCCGAAATGCCTATGATACTATATTTACAGAATATTTGATTTATTTTAAGATCTTGGATTAAAGATGATTGCACCAGTACGTATATTCAAGCTCTGGACGACTGCGCCCGCTGTGATCCCAAACTGATTCTTTGTTTCTTTGCAAGGAATAATCCAGAAAGGTAAAAGGAAATAAATTAAATTTGTACTTAAATTCCGAATTAAATCAAACAATTTTAAATTATCATTTAGATACGCTGCGATTAAGAAGAGAGGGTATGTGGATAGAGCTATTCCTACCCAGGTGGTAACCACAAATGCTAATAGAAACGGCTTGAGCGTGGCCACAAAAATTGCAATACAAATCAATTGCAAACTGGGCTATACGCCGTGGATGATCGAGCTGCCCCTGTCTGGTCTAATGACCATTGGGTTTGATATAGCCAAGTGTTCGCGAAATCGCTCCAAGGCTTATGGCGCATTGGTGGCCTCAATGGATCTGCAACAGAATTCAACATTCTTCAGTACCGTCGCTGAGTGCAGCGCCTATGATGTATTGGCCAATAATCTGTGGCCAATGATATTAAAAGCTTTGAGGCAATATGAACGCGAGCATAAAAAGTTGCCGACTCGTATCATATTTTACCGTGATGGCGTTAGCTCGGGCTCCTTAAAACAGTTGTTCGAATACGAGGTCAAGGACATTGTCGAAAAATTGGATGCTGAATATAAGCGCGTGTCGTCCACTACCGCACCGATGCTCGCCTACATTGTAGTCACCAAATCATCGAACACACGTTTCTTTTTAGACAGTATGCGAAACCCTCCGCCAGGAACTGTCGTCGATGATGTTGTTACGTTGCCTGAACGCTACGATTTTTACCTTGTGTCGCAGACGGTACGTCAGGGCACAGTTTCACCCACTAGCTATAATGTACTTTATAGTAACATACGCTTAAGTCCAGATCAACTTCAGAAGTTGACTTATAAAATGTGTCATTTGTATTACAACTGGTCAGGAACCACTCGAGTGCCAGCTGTGTGTCAGTATGCTAACAAACTTGCTACACTCGTTGGAACTCACTTGCACGCCATACCTCAATGTGCACTAGAGAAAAAATTCTATTATCTTTAAGATCAACTTTTATATTTTGAGTGAAATAATATGCTATTTTTAAGTTCATAGTTTTCAAAAAGTTTTGAATGGAGAAACTCATTTTATGCTTTACACAACTGAATGTAATTCCTTTGTTTATTTTAATAAGACTTCCACTACGGAAGTACGTACTTAATTTTGCTAATATGTTTAGATTATATTTAAGGAAATATAAATGCTAAATTTTTATGTTAAAATATCGTAACGAGCGCATTGAACGTAAATCCTGCGGGATAAAAATATGATCAGGACGACAAGCTGCGCTGATAAAGGACTTTGCTTGTCTGCGACCAGAGGCATAGCTGTAAACGATTTCGTTCTTCAAGATATCTAAAATTGTGCGAAAAATAGTATCAATCTCTGACTGATTGTTGATATTCTAGTGTCGGCAAGTTGGAGATTAAAGACCATCTTAACGTAGTCCATATAGAAAAATGCTTTAGGTGCACATACATGCTCACACAATTATATTATTATTTTCCACCAAGCTTCGAGATAATTCGTCCTTTGAATATAAGTGCGTATTCACTCACAAATTAATATCTATATTATTTATTACATTTAAATTTGAAACTTTTATTCGTTTACATACATAATCGTTAGTGATGCCAAATCATTTGTCATTCGCTAATTTTTCGTAACTGTAAATTTAAACGTTGTAGCCAACAATATGACGCTTGCCGATGCACTCGCCAACGTAGAACCAGAAGATAACCTCTGCAGTGACAAGTGTGTTAAGCCATGCCTCCTTAACCGATAGGTTTTTGTAGGATCCGGTCTTTGCACTCTTGACGATATTACCAATACTTTGGCGAATAGCTGGAATATCGGCTGGTGTTGGGGGAGTTAACTCCACTTTCGCGTATTTTAAGAAAACATCCAACTGAGGTCTTGCTTGCACAAGCAGCCCTGTTAAAGTAAATCATTACATAAGTTCGAAAATTAATCTCTTAGATATTCCGTAATTAATGATGGGTAAGAATCTTACTGTTTATGAGACCAGATCCTTTTGAAGCTACGCTCGCCATTGTATTGAAATCTATAAAAAATATATATATTTAATGTTATGCAGCCGCGAAATTAATAAGTAATATGCGAAAACCTTACGTCTGCAGAATGCAATGAAACAGGGTCGTTAGTTCTAGTTGTTCATTAATGCGATATGTTATCGATAAAAATGTAATTTGTGAATGCGACAAATGCCATTACCATCTAAAAATTCATCTAATATGTATTTCTTGCATATTGCTCTATAATTAATTTATTTAGTTTCATAGAGTTTTTATTTACAATACGATTACCATCGAATATATTAGTCGAAAGCAACTCAGAAAATCCAACTTGAAATCTAATCTATTCGATTGCACATCGATAACTCCAGTGTTAATGCAATTGTGCACCACTACAATAAAGGTGTGGAAATCCAAAAATTCACAAAAAAAAAAATAGAAAATTAAAACTATACATATTTAGTGTAAATTGTAAAGCAATTAACTATCACAAATTACAATAAACTAAATTTAAGTATATGTTAACATTAAGGCGCGAATAGATATTATTGTGTAGTGTGTGAAAAGTGTGCGTGACGTGAGGTGAGTTGCGAGGGGGTAACGGAGACCAAATGAAATTTTGGGCTATCTAGTTTAACAACTCGCCACTGTGCAAAAGGAAATTGATAATTTTGAAAGTAATATACAAGTTTGTGCGTATGTGTTTGGTTTTTGTGAGCGAATTTCGAGCGTAATGTACATATATTTAGTTGTATTGTGAGTAGCCTTCATTAGACAACTACGTTTGTATGCATGTACATGCATTTGCACACACATACACACACATACATATATATACAACTGGGGCTCCAGTTGGCATTAAACCAACAACTTTTTTTTTGGTGGCAATGACGAATGATAAGAATAACTAAGAAGCAGTCGAGTAGTTCGCGATTATTATACTCTTCTATAAAGGGTGAGGGTAGTTATCTTACTATGCTTATCACAAATTCGGTTCATATCTCGTGGGTGTGGTCCAGGCCCACAGACGACTGACTTTTAGCAAGCGATTTACAAGTGAATACACTTTAAAATTCTCTCGCACACAAACCGAGAGGGTGAATTGTCTCGTGCAAAATATGTTGGCCCGGTCTTAAACCATTTGATGTAGAGAAATATGTATGACTTATCCTATTAGTTTAAACATACTTTTATACACAAATGTATTTAAAACCAAGAAACAACTGTTATCTTGAAAGTGTTGAAGATTAAACACCCTAACAGTTCTGCTATTTCTTTGTTTTCCATAAAAAAAAACCCGGTCGATTATTCCTATAAGAGTTATTACCAAATATCATAATGCCATTTTGATATAAAATGTATTCGCATCTTAAGGGAGAGAATTGGTAATTTCTTAACGTTAACTCAAAAAATACTCTCAGAATGCGAGAGATTGATTAAGTTTAAAAGTTGTTAAAATACCTGGTAAGAGCTATGGGGCGGAACTAAATTGCGTGCTTTAAAGCACTTAGTCTTAGCATCAATAAAGTGGGTTAGTTTTAGTTGTAAGCGACTGCTGTCGCAGACTTAGTGGGAACTTGGAAGAATTTGCCAATACAAACACGAGCCACCATTCGGATAGACACGGATAAATACAATTCGGATAAAGACTACACGCTACGCACGACTTTTTGCATTTGTGTTTTTTATTTATTTGTTAAGACAAGTTTTAAATGCAATTTTATTTTATTTAATTTATATTGTGAGACTGCAATGTGATAATACTAAAAATAATGTCCTCTTATCTTTTTGCAGTCAATGAAAACGCGCTAACGTATAACAGCTGCTTAGTTGGAGAACTTTGGCGGATCAAACACAAAAATATGCCGCTGCCCAAACGTTCCATTGAGCCCGTACATGTAGCTCGATCCGTTTACCAGCAGGATGAGCTGCAGTCTGTGGAATTGGAGACTGTGACCAACACGACGCTGACAAATATAATACGGCAATTGTCGTCGCTATCTAAGCATGCTGAGGACGTGTTTGGCGAGTTGGCGCGGGATGTGGGCAATATTGGGGATCGGGCCAATTCACTGCAGGCGCGCATTGATCGGCTGGCGATAAAGGTTACGCAGCTGGATAGCACCGTGGAGGAGGTACCACTTACCGATATAACACGCAAAAAGGCGTTCAAATCGGCCAAGATATTCGATCAGCAGATCTTTTCACGCTCCACGATGCCCGCCCCCATGCTGGAGACGTATGCACTGTGCGACAAACCGCCGCCACTGGACAAGCTCAATGTATACCGTGACGATGGCAAGGATGGACTCAAATTCTACACGGATCCCAACTACTTTTTCGAGCTGTGGCGACAAGAGATGCTAAAGGATACGGAGCGCGTGATGCACGACAAAGGCAAAAAGCTGCATCGACCACGGCAAGAGGGCACCGGCGGTGGTCCGAACAATCGGCACAAGAAACGCGTCCGTACGCCACACAACACACGCGAAAAGCAGCGACAAATCGCGTTGGGTCACGGCGAAACCCTGATGCCAAACAATGTTATCTATCGGACGCCCAACGCAATGCCCAATGAAGAGGCCGGATATGGAAGTGAGTAAACGCTTTTTTAATAATAACAATATTGCTTTAGAATAAAAGTAAAAGTATGCCAATTATATTAGGCGTAGAACTGCAGTCAAAAGTAAGACAGCCTAGAGTAAGAATTTTACTCAGCCTCGACTTCAACTATTTTAAATGTAGCGTTAGATAAAATAACTCTACAATCAAACCAAACTTAACATAGTTACAACGTGCTGTTATTAAATAACATACACCAAACATGTTGTTAATATGCAATACATCTGTTAAATGCACTGTTAGTAAATTTATAGGTGTTTAGCCAGATAGGGAAATTGATTAACTTTATACTTTAGATGTGTACATAATTTGAAACAAACCGGATCTGAACAATACGTATTTGCGTAATTTCTCTAATAATACCCACATTCATAATGATTAACGCCCAATTACTGTATGCAAATTTAGCCCAGCTAATCGAAATCCAAACTGTAAATGCTGACAGCGATTTTCAGCTGGGAACACTGGCACGTCGAAGGCTTATACAACAACAGCTGACGAATATCGGTGATGTTCAAGACGTAGGTACGGTACATCAATGGCCCGCAGTTGAAAGCGTCATCGACTGCGCATATCGCGGCTTTCGTTTTGGTTTTAATATTCACAAAATGTTAATCCAAATTGTATGTACCTAAAGATAATCATGTTATTTGAATTACCTGCAAACGCTTGCTACTAGCTTGCAAAGCGCTTGCTCGCCAATCGATATGATTCATTCATTTGTACATTTCTATATGCATATGCCCTACAACAGAGTACATTGTTATTCTTCTGATCACTTCATGTACCTAGATTCATTATTAAAACTGCCATTTACTATTACTTTCGATCGCCTAATGTAACAACTGTTAACGTAAAGCTGTTAGTGTTAATATATACACTAACAGTTTATTAGCAGAGAAAGCGAATGTTAATGAGACCTCTTTACCTACAGCTGTTAATCAAAATGTAAGTGCGTCAGCTGCTAAAAATTCTAATTGGGTAATAAAAAACAATTTGAGGTCTAGGGTAACTGAACCTCATTTTTTATACAATATTCGACTGTTGTAGAAATGTATATACTGCGAACAGATGAATCGCAAAAGCTTAATTTAAATATTGTAAATGTTGTAAAATTAATGATAATTAAGTTGCTTAACAAATGGGAGTTCTCGGAACAAGAGCGAAACCTTATCATAATTAAGAGAACCCTATTGAGACCCCCAAGTGCATTGACTCATAGGGAGATCGATTATTATTACGTTTTGATTTCATTTGTTGCTCTAACTATAGTTTGTGTAAACATATTCGTATTTTAAGTAGCTTAAACGAACACCGCATGATCATCTCATTTCCAGATTCTGTTAAGCCCTATAATATGCTCTCACATTTGGAGAAAAACAGTAATCTCACAAAGCAAACGGCTATCGCTATTACAGGTCAGATAAACAAAAAGATTTAATACAACACACACTCAATTGTGTTTGTATATATAAATGTTCCTTCATCTACTTCTATCGTACCTACTGTCACTTGCCACTTTATATAGTCCCCCTATATGTACTTATATACCATATATTTTGTATACATTTCATGTGTACTAAACGCTCTGTCGAAACATTATGATTTAGGCTCAGATGAATAACAACAACCAAAAGCACCAAAATGTGAACATTTATAATTTCATTCAGGATGCATATCCCAAAGCAACAGAAAAATAATCATAAATTAATATTACCGCTGTTACTAAGTAATTTATGCTGATTACTTAATAATGGAAGTGTATGAACAACACCAATTGGCAAACAATTGACATTTTTAAGACATACACACGCTGTAGTATCCAATAGCAATGCCACAGTTAGCATTAAGTTTAAGTATTTGCTCTGATCCTACACAATGTTGACTTAAACATATTCCTACTTTCCCACCTACACCAGATGGACATACTATATAGCTGCTAATAGAAGATCGCCTATCTTTGTTACTCGTTTTTTTTTTTTGTTTATTTAACACTTTTATCACAACTCTCCAAGACTTCAAATCAGGGTTCGGAATTGCTCTTCAAATTGTACGCGACCTCAGTTATAGGGTATTTAACCAATTTAACAGCCTTGTCGCTCGTTAACCAACTCCCAGCAATTCCCAGCCTTGCTCTTTAATACTAGTTGTACTCTGTGACGCACTTTAGGTGACTGTGCGATAATCATTCAAATTAAATTTTATTTATTTATTGCATTTTATTCGCAGCCTCACATGACTACAGATTTTGCTTGCAATAATATTGTTTCCTGTTTTGCATTTTTGTGTGAATCCTTAATCTTTCTTGTTTTTTTCAATTGGAGTTTCTAATTTTGTGATACAATAAGTTGCACGGAATAGCCAATGACTGTATTAATGATTCCTTTGGGACATTTTTCAGATATGGGCATATACGACACACGCCCACTGCGGCCAAACTCAATTGAGCTGCGGCGCAGCTACCAGTCAGAGCAGATCGATGGCAGCGGCTACGAGCCACTCACACCACAGGCAGCGGCCAATCAGTATGCAGCTGCGTACGGCACCAACGGCATCTCGGGCAGCTCGCATATGCATCTGCAGCAGCAGCAACAGCAGCAGCTGTACGACGGGACGCTCTACCATCAGTCGCATGCGATCTACGGGCAGAGCGGACAGGGCCCTATGTCGCCGGAACAGATATATGGACCGGGCACCCCGTCGCGTAACAAGCCGCGTCCATCGCAGCCGCCACCAGCGCCCCCATCGAATGGCAGCGGCGGTGGCACGCCCACAGCATCAAACGCAAATACGCCCACACGCGGCCGCAGCATGTCGACGAGTCGGGACGCATTGCCGCCGCCGCCTCCAGTGCCGGATGTGGTGTCGCCGTTGTCGGCCATGAACGGCATGGCCAGCGGTCACATGGCAGCCAAGCTGCTGGGTCGCACCAACAGTACATCGCGAGCTGGCTCTCCGCAGATGGCACCCAGCAACAGTGCCCAGAACGCAAATGACATGGTTATGGCGCAGCTGAACAATACCTTCAATAGCATGGGCATCACGACTAGCAATCAGATGAACTCGCTCAGCGATTTGCCGCCACCACCCCCAGTGCCCGATCAGGTAGACTCATATTAATGCACATAATATGTTCTATATATATATATTAATTCTTATTTTTCTTTTACTCTGCAGCACTCACCAAAAATGTCGCCACCCAATGTAGCGCCACCGCCGCCACCACCACCACCGCCAGTGGACGAGAGTGGCATCGGCGGCGTGCAAATGCAGCAGCATCCACACCAAATTCTGCCCAAATCACTGGCCAATGGGGAGCTTCAGCTATGCCAACCAAACGGTGGCTCCCACATTGTGAGTGCGAAGAAGATGCAGGCTCCATTCCATGATCCACGCAACGATTTGATGAAAGCCATTCGAGATGGTGAGTATACGACAGAGATCCTTTTGAAAAACCCTTCTAAATGACATTTCTGTTTGCTATTTTAGGCATCATACTACGCAAGGTAGAAAAGTCCGAGCTGAAGGAAATTGAACGCAATACGGCAATGCTGGATGTAGCCTCGATTTTGGCCAGGCGAGTGGCCATTGAGCTATCGGAGTCAGAAGATTCGGATAGCGAGGATGACAGCGAGGGATGGATGGAACCCAATGAGACCTCTGCTTGATCCCTGATGGCTTCGGTTAAACCGGATAAAAATGCAAAAAACAAAAAGAAAAAGTAATTCCAAAGAAAATTGATGCAGGATGTAAGCACCCAGCAGTTGGATTACTACAAAGCGCCAAAGCTTTTATATACCATACTTTATAAGAGTATCTCCCAATATGCATACATACCTAAATACTACAGACTAAACCTTAAATCAAAATCTAATTTGAATTGTACATATTTACACGCATACATACACATACCAAGAGTAATTATGGCTAATATATGAAATCGCTAACGAAATCAGATATGATTTCAAGTTGCATATACATATATATATATATATATATAGAGGGAGAGGTATTTGTATGTATTCATATTCGTAGCATGGCTAAGCCTAAGCCTCGTGAGGGAATAAATACTCGTCTCGTTTATGCAAGATGCAAAAAAGGATATAAATTGCTTAATCTTGTCTGCAGTCGTTTTCCAATCTATCGCTACCATCAGCCATGTCAGAGATTGATCGGTACGGACGTAGATAGAAGAAAATGATAATAAAATAAAGTAGCTATTGACTTGCTTTTTGGATATTAAACCGATATTTAACACTTTATAAACTCGAATACAAAATGATTATTAACAATGATTAAACTGGCAAATTTAAAGTTTGTAAATATATAAAATGAAACGAAAAACACATTAACTAATAGAAAAGTCGACAGCATTTTACACACGCTATGAAATTGCAATATATAAAGTATATACCGTTTAACTTACATACATATGCAAGTATATATATATATATATTCGAAATAATACATAATCTTAACTGAAACCTTTGCTAAATATATACTGGCTCGTGCGTAATGCCGTGTATTATTTTTTTTGTTTGAAAAGCTTATTACAAATATAATGGATATATGCATATGTAATAATTGTTGTATATTTTATCTAATTTAAAATAAAAGTATTCCAATTAAATCATAAAAGAGTATATTCCTAATCTTAAGTTTTAGGCTAGATTGTTCGCCAGTAAGCATTTAATTTATATTTATTTGTGCAAAAAAAAAAAACATTGTTAGCTAGAATTATTGCACCCACACACATGTACTCAAACACACACACACACACACATGTACACACACTACACATCCACCCATTTTTTTTTTTATAATTTTTACTCGTCGAGCCTCTCCATTGGAGTTTTTTCCCTGGTCGGCGGATTGCCATTCAATCTATCCTGTATAGTGAATGGCATCTGAATGCCCTCCTGGGATTCACGCTTCGGTGTGTTCATCTTGTGCTGACTAGAGAAGCTCACGCTAATCCGTCCATTGCCACGCACCGCCGTCATGGCCAGGGGTGGTTGATACCGCACCACAGGAGTTGCCTGTCGCATGTCCGTTGCCAGCTGTTCCCTGTTGTTGTTGTTGTTGTTGTTGCTATGCGTCGAGTTATTGGGCTTGGCATGGGTTTCTTTGCGCACGCCCACCATTAGAGCCTCTTGGCATGAGCTCTCCTGAAACTTCTTAACGCGATCCTTCATGTCGCCTTCACGCTTCACCTCCTTTGTAATTTCGGCGCGTCGCTTGTTCTCGTAACGCTCCAATGCCATCTCATCGCGTTTCTTATTGCGCTCCACAATTAAATCGGCGATTTCTAATCGTTTTTGCATCAACGCCTCTTTGTCCAGCTTCTGGAAGAGCTCCGGCCAGATGCCGGCCTGTTTCTTGACAAGCACAATGCGCGCCTCATGCTTGAAAATGCGACAGAAACTGGCCATTTCATCGATCTCCTGGGCCAGATGCCGTTCAAAGAATATTGGTGGGCTGTTAAACTTCAAGTACTGCGGCAACAGTACAACGTCCGGCTTGCGCGTGACCAGCCTGTTCAGTTCGATGGATATTTTAATGTCCTCCTCGGTCTGGGATATCTGCACCATTCTGAGCTGCCGCCGTTGTCCTGGCCCACGCAATTGTTTTGTGGTGAATGAGCCGTTTCTAGCCTTTGCCGTCCGTCTACTATTTGGAAAGCTAAGACCCTGTCTACTGCCATCCGATTCATTTGAATATTATATTGGTTTTGTTTATTTTGAATTCAATATTAGCCGGCATTGTAATCGCCAAGACGAGTTGCGCTGCTTATCGATCAAACAATGATTGGCTGGCCATCCCCTGCACTTGCGGGAGTCCTGCAAGCACACCTGTAACACCTATTTGCATACCTTATTGCCTATGCCGGGCTTAGTCGTGCCGTAAACTTAGTCATTGACCCTCGGACCTACTTACCTGCACAAACAAGGCTCGAATTAGTCGCAACCCATCTATCTATAATGTTCGGGCACGCGATTCCATTTTCGTTGGCAGCATAATTTCATTGTTATTGAGTTTAGCACCAAATTGACAACTGTTTAACATTTGTTACTGCACGAGAGCTATTTATACATTCACCTAATGGGTTGTCCTTTTTTCATAAAAGCAGTAATAAACGCAACCATATTTTATCCTTGGCAGAAAATTGCATAAATCAGTTTATAATCTGCATTAGAAATGCATTAAGAAATATTGCAAAAAATTGGTAAAATGTTAGTCCTACAATATGTTAAAGGATATCCAATATCCGTAAGCATGTCCTTCTAAGGAAAGTAATCCCATCTATAGCCTGGCCACTTCAAGTAGTTTTCTTATGTCGTTTGGTCAACAAAAGTAAAATACAATAACAAACGACAAAAGTTTGAATCATTAGTCCTTTAATGTAGATCGATGCAGCTTCCTTCGAAAATCCGCAAGGATATGTCCGAGTTATTGCTGTTTTTCCTAAGAACGGCATTAATTACAAAATCGTTCGTATCTTTAAAATTTTAAGGATTACCACGATTTGCTTTGGCAAGCTAATAGTCCTTGTACCCCAAATCCAGAATATACCATGAAAAGGACGAATGTCCTTCGATCAGCCGAGAAAAGGAGTAATTTATGTGCACACAAAATTGCCTATAATTCTGCCATATCCTTGCGGCTGCTGACGAGGCTTGTGTCAAACAACTCTTAGTGATCAGGGCTACCAGCTTGCAAAAGGACATCAAAATCGTCCTTGTAGTTTCCGAAATATCAGTGATATCCTTATTTCAAGTTGAATCCTTGCACAATCCGCTGAAATTTGTCAGATCCTTAAATTTTTGAATGCAGTTCGATGCAGATCGTCCTTACGATTCGAACGCACCAAGTCCTTTGAAAATCCGCCAGGATACGGCTAAGCTAGAGCTATTTTTCTAAAAAGGACATTCCATTTTTAGCCATAGCTTGGCCATATCCTTAAGGATATCGAAAGGATATACCTTTTTGAACTCGTGGGGAGCAGGACTATCGATTGGCATTCAAGGATTTCCATATTTCGACAAAAAATTTCACGAAAATTTTTCACAGGGGTTTAGTCAGAAAATTGGCCAAAATCAAAAATTTCCGGGCTAACTTTGCCATTTGAAGGACTATCGGGATGTCCTTTGGACAGCTAAATGTCCTTACCCTCCCATTTAAGAATATACAATCCGAAGGACGATAGTCCTTCAAATAACGAAGTTTTAAGGACAAATTTTCATAAGGAAAATAGGCCATAACTCGGCTGTATCCTTAAGTATCCTGACAGGACATGTGTCAAAAAAATTGTACTGACCAGGCCTACCAACTGGCCAAAGGACATCAAGATCGTCCTTGTAGTTTCAGAGATATAGCGATTTTATTGAAATTTTGTGTTTTCAGTCAATTTTCCTTGCGGCCCGCGACTGAAAATTTACCAAGTCCTGGATTCTTAGATGACCCCATAATGTTTTAATGCAATTCGATACAGTTGGCACCCACGATCCTAACGCACCATGTCCTTTGAAAATCTGCAAGGATATGGCCGAGTTATGGCTATTTCTTTCCTAAAAATACCCTTTTAACACTTTTATGATATTTTTCATTCAAATGTGCTTTTATCTTTTTAGATTGAAGGATTCAAGGACTCAAATCCATTCAAAGGACTTTTACGAATCTAATAAGGCTATTCCTATATTCCTATAGCAATATTACGTTAAAATCGAAAATACATTCAAAACACAATTATTTTTATACACTTATCGCACCGAATAAGTTATGCTCTATTTTGTAAATGTTTTATTCAGTTTAGCTGCAGTTGTACAAAAATAAATGCCAGGGATTCTGCCCAGTTGCAAGTAGTTGTATTATGTCAGCATTGTCATTTAAATCAAAGCTTATCCAGTTTTCGAATTGGAATTTTAAATGCCAATTGGAAGTACTGGTTCTTATAAGTATGTCCTTCGAGTACATGATTTACCCGATGCATACAAGCTTACATTCGTTTATTAAGCAAATCGTTTAATTCAAGTAGGCATCAGGTTTAATTTCAAGCAGGTTTAACGTGAAGACAACTGTTTCATCAAAGCTCAGATTTGAAGTTTTTGTACAATATGAGGACACTCATATGGCCAGTGGTTGCATTAATTTTTCTCTTCTTGCTGGCCAGTGACGCTTATAATGCTCGTAAGTATAACCAATTATTTTAGTTTAAGCATTGCTGTGAAATGTTTTATGTGGCAGGAAAATGCGATGACAAGCCGTGCCAAACTGGTCCCTGCAGAGCATTTTTTCCAATGTGGCGATTTATAAAGGAAACTCGTCAATGCGAGTATTTCATCTATGGTGGCTGTCAGGGCACACGAAACATGTTTGAGGACGAGAAGGATTGTAAGGCGCAGTGTTTGAACTGAAAAGGATTTGAAATCTTATATCCAAATTGAACACCACATTCAAAATTCAAAAAGGTTTCAATTAAAAGTAGTTACAAAATTAAAATTGTAATCTTTGATAATAAAAGTTACAATTACCTTTCTTTTTCCCGGAAATTAAACTGGCTGTTATGTATAATCCTAATCATTCCTTAAAATAATGAGGCCCGATCTCGTAAAAGTGTACCTCTTGAAAGTCCTTAAAATTTGAATTGGTTTCAAAGTGACACAACAAAAGGCCTCCTATTAGATTAAATTTATATAATAATTTCTATATAGAAATATGCTAATAATGTAAAAATATTTCTGGTACATTATAAATATACTAGACTTACTTCTGTAATGTTACATTATGTTTTATTTATCAGATTTGATTGAACTTTCTGGCAGTACTTTTGCCACCTTTCTTGGCTCCTTGATCGTTGTCTGCGGGCACTGCATCTCACCCCAGCCAATAGGCACCATGGGAATACGATTTTTTCGGATATCGCTGGCATACGCAACCACCACACCGAGTTCTGCTTCTGCTGTGCTCAGCATGAACGATTGTTCCATCTGGTTAACAACACGCGCCAATATGACATCACCGGGTTTGAATGACTTGTAAATATCCACTCGGTCTTTTTCAGTTTCGCGCACGTCCTCCTTGCGCAGCAGACCGCGATAACTGCTCTCGAGTAGAACGTTTCCCACGCAAAATATGGCACACTTTGCGAATTTGGGCGTCGTCACAAGGACGCGTGCTGTGACGACATCTCCGGTAGCCGGTATGGTCAAATGAAAGCCTGGCTTGTGCACACTTACAATTTGGCACTGAAATGATAAGTTATTTGATATTAATTAATTATATTACTATATAACTAACTTACCTTTTCCGTGGTCTCGTCAATATGCACTATTCCAGATTTGCAGGCATAAATGTAGCCTCCCTGCTCGTAGGTACCTTGTCCCACGATAATGTTATCCTCCACGCGACATAAGCGCTCTCCAGGCAGGCAAATTAATATCTCATCCTCATTATGAGATGTAGTAGCTGTGATTCTACCCTCCGCAGTCATTTTTTCACAAATTAAAATAACAAATTTGGTTTACTGATTTTGGCAACTAAATAACAAAAAGTAGCCATGTGTTTTTTTGCGTCTAATTCATAACATTTCGCTGAATGTTATTAACAGCGGGATCTTCGGCGAATTCATATTCATAATGTGACGGAACTGTGTTTAAATGATATCGGCTACTAGTTCCAAGTTAAGCAAAATATCGAAATCGTATAGTATTTAGTTTTGTTTGGTTTTAACCGCGAAACTGTGCGTTTTTTCTTAATAACATAATATTTGGTGTTTATATATGCTTAAATTACAATCATTTGCTTCAAATTCTAATTTGGTTTATTCGAAAGTAGTTCATTGGAACTTGAATTTAGACACCGATACTTTTTAACATCACTAACAAAATCGATAACGTCAGCAACCGATAACACGCGCGTGTTTTTTTGCCGGCCACCATATCTATGTGCGTTATTTAGAATATTTTTAATAATATCTTTAACTCGAGATGAACACAAAAGCTAATATGAGTTACAGAGAGGTAATACCGAAAAATATAAACCCAGAAGAATGGATCGAAGTCGAAATAAATACAGGTGCGTTAGATGCTGCCAGCGGCCAGATGTATTTGTTAGCGTCGTCCAGAAGTGTCTCATTAATGTTCATAAATATTGCTTGTATTTCTAACCAAAATAGGCACACAAAGTACACTGCAGGATATTAAGACTTTTGGAAAGTCAGGCAGCTATTGCTACAATTTTCTTGCCAATGGCCAAAACAGGAACCGATTTATATATTGGTAAACATTGTTAATGATATACATTGATATACATATGGCTAATTGTTCTATCCCAGGCGCACATATCAAGATGTCGTGGAACTGTCCGAGGTCAGCCTGGATATTTCGCTTTTGAAAAACCATCTTCGTCTACGCTTTACGGACTCCGCAGTGTTAAATGTCTCGCTGTCCGAGCAGGCAAACACCGTCACCCTTCTGGTGGTCACCGTCAGTAGTGTGCATCGGATTGTCTTTCCACTGCAGAGCGAAGCATCTACAGCCTGTGTTGCTCCGGCGGATTCCCAAAGGAATTCCATTTTCTATGATGCAAACGCTAACAACTTGAAGGATCGCAGCACATTTTATGTGCTTGACGGCACCATGGCTATTAGTGTGCCACATCTCGCAGCTTCCGATATGTCCGAGAATAGCCAGGAGGCATATTTCGCAGTTGACTACCATTCAAAGCTTATGCTTTATATTATGAACTGTCGGACCGGCAGCACAATTTCGCACGAAGTGAAAGAGTCCCATTTAATGCCGCGTTTTCTAACGAACTTAAAAGGCGCTCTAACGTGAGTTTCCATATTATTCAATTTTCACTAAATGAGTACATTAATCAAATTGCATTGCAGTGGTCGAGGAGAACATTTGGAGGGAGCTATCTCCATGGCTTTCAGTCGCATTGACGGAGAGATGTTTTTATTGGTGCTCTATCGGAATAATGAACTACGCTTGTGGTCGGTTTCCACTTTGCAAAGTGTTGCGTCTTATAGCTGTACAGAGTCCCAAGGAGCTCAGGGCCGTAAGTTTTCTATTTTTTCTTTTAAATCTAATGTTTAAATGTATTCATTATTTAATGTATCTTTTTTAGCCCAAAACAGTTTGCTACGCAAAATCGATGATCACAATTTTTGTGTATTTTTGTCGCACGAAAAGGACTCTGAATTCGTTTGCTTTAGCATCGTATGCAAACTGAGCGACATGAACACAAAATCCGTGAGTCTAACTGTTCGCCATAAGGTGCCAGCTCCGCAAATGGATTTGGCTGATTTCGATGCAACTTTCTCTCATATTTGGACGCTGTGGAGCAATGCTGAGGGTGATTTTAATGTGTCGGCCATTTTCTTGGATGCCGACAGCTCAATTAAATGGGTGTCTGCGGCATTGGAACCACCGCCGGATCGTTACTGTCTTACCATAGAGCAGGGCGTCGATCCACGCGAAGCATACTGTTCTTATATATTTCATCCGGGTCGATTTGATCGAAACGTGATTGCTAAGGCACTTTATGTAAGCTCTTGTTTAGATGTTGTTGCAGTTAAAATAATATGTGTTACCCTTGCAGATGTTCAGACGCGTCAACATGCAATTCGATATAAAGCAACTGACAATGGGCATGCTTAAGGAGCAGGTCTGCCAGACAGTCGAAGATGAGATTCAAAATGAACTGAAAGATTTCGTTGTCAGCGACGATGAATATTTAGAGATTGCGACCAGGCTCTGGGATCGTTTCTACTCCTGCTGTGAGCAATACCACATTAAGTTTTCCGAGCCGACAGGCCTGTCGGTTTTGGGCGCCATGGATGCTGTTTGTGTTATCAGAAGGCAATCGTTTGCATTGCTCCGCCCGTGTGAAATGCTGGAACACCTAATGCTTGTTGGAGAGAACACAAGAGATGTAGCTGAGTTTGTAGCGCCATATTGCCGAGATGATCTTGTGGCGGCCCACGGCTTTATTGAACTAATGGAGGTCGTCAATCAATTGGAAAAGTTTTTAAGCGAAGATATCAAATTGGAGTTGGATAAAAAAATTTATCAGAGGAATGATAGTGTGCTAACAAACTTGTTAGTTCAAATCACCAAAGGCGATGATAACGATGATAACAATGGCATTAACCTATCAACCGACTGCGTGGAGCAAATAAGAAAAAAACTACAATCGATCAATATTGTGGATGCAGCCATTAATATGCTGCTTGATTTACTCGCCATTGTTGACGAAGATGCTTATCCAGGTTCTGCAGGTATATAACGATCGCTCGAAATTATTTTGTATACGGAACTCATAAATGTAACTTCTTAATTGTGTTTAGGCGGTCAATCAAAATCGACGCGCTTTTTGCAATCAACTGGAGCGTTGTTTGGCAGCGAATATGGAATTTCCATTCTAGCCGAGACGGTCAAGCAAATGGCACTGATACGGTATAATATTCTTTAATATACTAGATCTTCGTTGATAGACTAATTAATTGTAATTTTAGCTTTGCCGTTTGCCGCAACCTTTTAATTCTGCAGTACATACTGTATGGCAATGTTTCTAAGAGCGACTACACTATTATGACAAATATAAATTTCTTGCACTCCTATTACACACTTGTCTGGATCTCTGAGACACCTATTTCGCTGAACACGCCAGTTAACTTGTAAGCCACAGAAAAATTAAGAGTATTACTTTCGATTTATTACATTTTTTCCACCTGCAGTGAGGTCTCGATACAGCGTCTGACGCGTGCACAGCTCTTTAGTGGATATACGAGGCCATACTCGAGCCAAATACGTTTAAATAACCAAACAACACTGCTGTGCTTGTTTCTGCAATCAAAGGGTCTATTTAGCGCCCTATCGATGCTGCTAAAGGAGCCCAATTCATTGGTGGATCAGTTGTCAATGCGCCAGACTCTACTACAGCTGGTTGGTTGCATTAATCAGATGCTGTAAGTTTGCATGCAATATTTGTTTTTCTTTATCTTGCTAATTGACATTTAATTACAGCTGGCCCGAGGCTTGGAATGACGTGTTCCCAGAGTGGCTTTTTGGCACTTGCCATCACATTATCATTCAGGACTATGAGCGCTTGCTGGCTGGTTGGTGTAGCGAGAAAGCTGATTCGCGTCAGTATAGAGCTGCTTAAGTTTTGTATAATTAGTCTTTATATAATAAATAATCTTTTTGGGTCTTTTCAGGTAGCTTCATGCTGGCAGTTTCCCTATTAGATTCCGGCGAGCCGCAAAAAGCTATTCATCTCTTCGAGCAAGTTCAGGAGAGTGTGCTTAAGGAACCACTTTTGTTTGAACAAGTGCTGAAGAACACACCGATCTATACCAAGCTTGCGGGCATCCTTAGCAGACAGAAAGTTGTGCCAACAAAAGAAGAGGCCAAAGTCGCTTTGGTTCATTATTATCTGAAAGTTATTCAATTATTTGAACAACATTCGGCTTTCGATTATATCATTCAGTTGGCCCACATAGCTATGAACAAACTGCATGTAGACGATCAGCAGTTGCCAATGTTCCAATCCATAGTATTTAACAACCATTTGCAGCTGGGCCACTATGAGGAGGCCTATCATGCTCTGGTCTATAACGCAGACACATCCCGGCGCAAGGATTGTCTGCGTCAGTTAGTCATAATGTTGTTTCAGTGCAAACGCTTTGATCTGCTAATGCAATTGCCTTATAATGGCCTGCAAGAGGAATTTGAGAACATTGTGGAATCTCGTGCGCGCTCCTTGAGCATCGATCAGAACGAAGTGTATAATTTTCTATATGCATTTCATGCCAACAAAGGCAATATGCGCAAAGGTAATGTCTCTTCAAAAATAATTAACTTAATTTATACGAGTAAAGTGCGTGTTTTCCCACAGCTGCGACTGTTATGTATGAGCAGGCCATGCGCCTTCAGGTGGACAGCGATGCACCTGACGCGCTCCAAAAGCGCTGCTCCTCACTACTGGTCTGCATAAATTGCTTGTATCTGGTCGATAATCGTTATAGATGGATTGCCAAACCGACAATTGGCGACGAGAAGGTGGCCACGGATCAGGCTAATAACGAGCAGCGCTCTCTGGAGGCTTACAAAACTCACGAAGTCGTTGTACTGGAGTTAACCGACATACGACGTGAGCTGCTGCACGCGGAAGCCCTAAGAGAGCTTGCTCACCATCGCAAAGATGTGGCTGCCTATGAAATGGCTGGCGCCGAAGAGCTCTCCTACCTCTTGGCCACCTGTGGCCTATACACAGCAGCATTGAAGCTTGCACGGGGTCATGCATTCTCGGTGCTGCCAATATTTGAGAGTTTGGCAGCTGCATGCGTTAGCACCACTGAGGATAAGACTAAGGATGCTTGGGCTTGGTTGCAGAACAATGACTTAGCAGGTATAAGTTAGAAATTAATTTTCCATATTCTTTAAATCTAAAGCTATGGTATTTTTCAGATCTTGCACATCGGAACAGTGCAGCTGACATGGCTTGGTCATTGCTGCAAAAGCTGGTTGTCGACAACGAGCTCAATGAATCAACTTCAATACGTAAATGTGTCGTCAACCGAATACTCACTTTGAATGCATTTGTGCCACAATGGCTGTACGATTCCTACAAATTGGCTAACTCTCGAGAGTTGCTCCATCTGTTGGTGAAGCACAATCGTTTGCTCGATGCCGCCGATTTGGCATGTGAGATGATTGGCGGCATGCTGGGGGCAGGCAGTGAATATTTCGACTTTAAGCATTCGGTGAATGTGACTAATCCACAGCTCGCATTTCCCATCAATACAATTGATCTGCTGCTGCACGGCTTGCAAGTAAATGGCAGCAAACATATTGAATACGAGATGGTAAAGTCACCTCCTCTTTCATTTTAGTCATTTTACGCAAATACAATATTTGCCACGTTTCATTTGCAGGCACATAACAAGCTCGAGGAAGAAGTGGCCCGATACATTGAGACCGTCAAGCGCACCACGGATGACAAAATGAAGTTAGCCATTCTAACGGACAGAGAAAATCGACAGCAACAGCAAATTTTTGGTTAAGCGCTCTGCATGTATTGAATGGGCGTAATAAAAACTATAATATAATAATGTTAGAAATCATCCGTCATTACCAGTTCGGCAAGAAACTTTTTGTATATGTTCATGAATTGGGCCACAAAAGCCTCCAAATGGAATATATGTTTCGCACCGTTCTGCATGCGATGCTCGTATTGTGTAGCGTACTCCAATGTCTTTGCCTTAATCGACATATCACAATTGTTGACCAGTTGCTCCACGAGGCCACGGAAGATTAGATTGGGTGGCACACCCTGCGAAAGTAACTCGTACAAACGATCGCGTATCTTTTCCAGTTTCGCGGGTGTTTGTTCGCTCACAATTTGAGTTGCAGTCTCACGCAGATACACTTGCCAGTCCAGCTCGGCGATCTGCTGCTGCGCTGTGAACGGATACTGCTGGACCTTGGATGCCTCCAGCATCAGTAAGGCCCTTCGCATATTTCGTTCCGATTTCTCTACCACACGTTTGGCTAGCTCTGGCGGCAATACCAGACCTTCGCGTTTACATGTGCTTTGGAGCACAGCTGTCATTTCGTTCTCGCTGGGTGCTGGCACGCGAATGCCTAAGCAACGCGACCGGATGGCCGGAATGATGCGAGATGTGGAGTTGACCGACAGTATTATGCGGCATGTGGCTACGTACTTTTCCATGGTGCGGCGCAACGCATGCTGAGCGTCCTTGGTTAGCTCATCTCCTTCGGAGATTACAATTACTTTGAATTCCCGTTGACCATTAATATCGATTTGGTGTGTTTGTGCCACCTGCTTGATCAGGTCTATAACAACAGTCCGATCGTACATGCCGGCGTCCGAGGGATTCACCTCCAAATGGTAATTGCTGCCAACTGTCATCACCTCGATCTTGCGATTCGAGGGCGTTGTGAAACTCATTGTTTCGTTGCGCAGTCTCTCCACGCCGGCACCATACATCTCACGCAGCAGGCACATTATGCGTGTCTTCTTGCCCGCGCCAGATGGTCCATAGAACATTAGATGAGGAAAATCACTTTGCTTGCAGAGATTGCGCAAGTTTTCGGCTTGGTCCTAAAATCACAAAAATATATTGAGTTATGTTTGTACAAGTAAAGGCGACAAATTTTTATTCACCTTGTGATAATCCAATTTGGATAACTCACGGGGCCGGTATTTGTCTACCCAAAGTGCCATCACAGCTTATTGTTTAGCACATAAAACACTTTATAGCGAAAAATATATACAATTTATTCCGGCTTCACTTGTGCAATGCGCGCTTTTTTTGCGTCTTAACAATCGGCTAGCCGTGAAGAGTTATCGATATCGTTCTTGTTAGTAACTATCGATAGTATATAAAACACCGATACTTTTTGAATACATGTGGCATCGGAGTATTTGAATTGATTTTTTTTATTGTAACCATTATTCAATAATAACCGAAAACGAAAATATTTGGTACCTGCTATTTTGATTCACAATTAAGATAATGAATTTTGTGGATGGGTGTCCCAGCGATCTTACTCAATAACTTCTACCTTGACAACCGTCTCTTCGTGGGTGCGAGAATGTCGCGAAAGATTCGCCTTGCTCGAAAATGGTTTATAACAAATATTGCAACTATAAGGACGCTCGCCCGTATGCGTTCGCAGATGTGTATAAAGTGTTTTGCGTGCTCCAAATGCCTTTCCGCAATTGTTGTGGGTGCATACAAAGGGACGCAATTTTAGATGAACTGCATCGTCATGCTCCTTCAGATGGCAAAGCTTTTTAAATTTTCGTCCACATGTGCTGCATTGGTAGCCCTCCCTGTTATTGTGCCGAGTCATATGTGCGTCCAGATCTTCTTGGCTGGCTCTGTCATGAGAGCAGATCGGACATCGGAATTGACTGCTCGCTAAATGATTATTCATATGAAGATTCAGCTCTGTTTTTTGCCGAAATGATTTTTCACAAATTTTGCATACAAATGGGCGCTCTTTTGTGTGACCCATTATATGAATGCGCAGGGTTCTGGCCAAACCAAATGAACGTTGACAAAAGTCGCATTTATATGGACGTAGGCCTTCATGGACCAATCTTACATGATCTTTCAAGTGCGTTTTCCTCTTAAACTCCCGCTGACAATACGGACAAATGTTCTCCGCGTTGGACAGACTTGCGACTGTATTGTCCATTTCAGAATCACTTTCCTGGGAAAGATCATGTTCTTTTGTGTTGGATAACTAAAAATAAAATAAAAAATAAAATAATGTTAACATCAATAACATATGTTATTTTACATCACATCTGATATGCAAACAGGTGCCTGTTAGGCGACTTAGAGTTGGACATCGAATATTTGCCAGTTTATGACTTACTTTGATTTTATTTTTTCCACTTTGATTTTCATCGCCAATATTAGGATATTCTGTTTTAATTGAGGAATCCATTTCTGGTATTTCGTCTGTGTTTGACAATATAGTAGATACAAAATATTGTTGGCTTTCTTGTAATATACTTTGAAATTCCAGGAATGTTCTAAATTTTTGGCAGCAATATTTACATATGCTCCCAGTCGGCTTATTATCAATCGGTTGCATTTTATCAGTTCCTGTAAATATAAGCCGCATCAAGCTCTGCAGCTTGGGTGAGTTTTCGATCGAATTGGCATTATGGTCCGCTTTAATTTTAAAGCATGTAGCACATATCATTTTAACTTTAGTATTGTCCGTTAACTCAAGCTTTTCAGCTGTTAATTCATTAAGAGCGACACCCGTACAAATGGACATCTCTGCAAATTTACGAAACATGCCAACTTTCGTGTAGCAGGAATGACACAAACGAGTTGGCATTGCCAACTGCATTCCCGTTCTCATTGGCTGTAATCCATCTGCCATTAATTCAACAATGCGTAAGAGTTGCGGATCTTCTTTTAAATCATGTCGAAGTTCCCTTGTATTTTGTAATTTGCCTAAATCTTGCAAGCACGCTCTGCAGAAGTTATCCACAGTAGCACGGGTTATTGGCAGCATCACGAAATGCGTTCATTTATTCGCAGATGTTAACCAGTTGGAGTTAAATAAAGAACTGAGTTTGTTTTTATGTAAAGTATGTACAAGTGCTGTTAACCAGCGCTGCCAATCTGTTTCAATGCAATAACATTTGCACAGCTGACTGCGCTCTTAGGCGCCTATTTAAAATTTCAAAAGTAGTCTATCAAAATATTTACATTTAATTACATGAATTTAACTTATACAACACTAAAAAAATAGCTTCTTTTTGGCCCAGAACCTTTCAACTTAGTCTAAGCATTCAATACGTCATTGGCTAGCTCAACGCCGACAAAAACGGCCGCGGTTGAAGGAAAAGCACGTATCAGTATGGGCAAAACGCCGCGGTATAGCGCCTTGGGACCCTCTGTGGCCATTAACTCTCGGAAAACGCTGCGTATGCCATGCGTATACGTACCCTCGGGCGCTGCATAAGACGAATAAAGTAACGTTAACAAGTGTTAGGATTATATGTACATAAGCTTTGGCTAACTGACCAGATTGTAGTCGACTTTTAAGTACATCAAAAGGCACAGCCAGGGACCAAAATGCAATGCCAGCCGTGCCCCCAGCAAATATGGTTGAGGTCGGTGTTATTTGTCCCGTTGCCGAGCGCCGTCTGGCCAAGTCCTGTAAGCCCTCATAGACAACAAAATAGACACCAGTGGGTGAATCTGCGCAAATGCAATGTTATAAAACTCATGACTTGGTAACAACAAATGATGCTGCACTAACCTCTCAGCACGCAGGCGCAGGTACCTTTGAAGAGACTACGAAGGCCGCCCTGCCTGTACAGTTTTATGGCCGTATCCAGCATGCCATTATACATAACGGGGCCTGTGACCGGTTGCGTTTGCAGTAACACCTTAATACGATCCGTTGGCACTGTGACCAAAGCTGAGCAAATGCCCGCGCCAACGCCGGCAATAAAGATTTGTGTGTATGTTAGCTTAACATGTTCGTCCGTTTGAAATAGGCGCTTGCCCGCCGCATAGACGGCAAAATCCACAGCATAGATGGGCGTCACACCGACCAGAGGCGCTGAAATGCCTCTATAAAAGCCTCGAACGCCCTCAGTGCTAAAGGTTTTAACAGTACAATCGATAATGCCTTTATATTTGGGCGGCTGTCCAGCTGCAGGCAATGGCATTGTCTGCAGCCGCACCTTAAAGTAAACTAATTTTGAGCACTCGTTTTTTGTGATTTTATAAACATTTTGAAAACGTACCTTAATTGTGTCCAATGGATAGCCTGTGAGCACACTGCAAATGCCTCCAAATCCGCCAGCTATGAACGATTTCACAGGATTCGCTTTGTGATCTGCTGTTGCCGCTGCCATGACGAACTATTTACGTAAACAAGCCCAGAATATCGTCAGCCACTCTTTGATGCTTACTAATTGCTACATGCACGTGCGATGGCGGTTGCTTGGGTTATGTTATCAGTTGGCTGAGCTGTTGCCTATTTATGCTAATAAAATTGGAAATTTCTGTAGCAAGTTCAACATCCATTGCAAAGGCACAATACAAGCGGTCTTATCAAATAAAACCATATGCTTAATGGGCAGGCAAAAATTTACATTACATTTTGCTAAACTGTTAATAACAGAGAGCACTAATCTTTGCTGTTAAACGCCTATTGTTCATTTGTCAGTGCTCTGAAATGTCATAAAATTATTTTTGTTACTGCAATATGCTTTGAAAAAAAAATATTGTGTTTGGCGGCTTGTTTAGAGAAAAAGATAAAACGGCGCTTAAAACTTGGACTTTAAATGAACAGCTGATAAACGGCCCAAATAAGTGCCCCTTAAAATAGATAACAGAGCTATAGCGAAGAACAGTGGAGATAACAGATAATTGAAATAATTGCAATTACATCTTACTTCACTTTTACCAATTTGAACACGACGAGTCGAATCATGATGCGGAAAACTCTTGTTTTTACCGACTCCTGTTTACATTTTTAAAAAATACAATTTTGAAAGAGTTTTCAAATATGCTTGGAATTCAATATACCTTTGTTTGGCGTTTTAAAATAAATCTAATTTGAGGATTATCTTTTGAAAGGGAATTTGTATTATTTAAAAACTATATCTATTGACAATTTTGAATACATCGGCAACTATATAAATTTGGTGTCTTAAGACTAAGGCTCCTAGTATGCGGATGATCTTATGGTCAAAAAAATGTCAAAGTATCTGAAATAAGTAACATAATTTGTTTGACATTTGAAAAAAAAAAAAAATAACAATTGCGAAATCGCCTATGCCTAAAATCGCTTATCGAAAATTCGACAGTCACTGCGATTTCCATTCAAAATATTTAAGCTTTTAATGAAAGCAAAGAAGGAAGTTGATTTCTCTATGCATTGAACACAATCAAAAATGATATTTTAATACAATTATACAACAATAATTTACCATTCACACGCCCCAACAATACCAACATTGTTGTTATCGAGTTATCGATTGTGCCAAACCAGGGCTGGCAAAGCGAGCTGAAATTGTTGCGTATGCGTGTGCAAAGCATATGCATAGCATATTTTATTGTTTAAAACGATCCTTTTGTGCAGAGAGTTGTGCAAAAACATATGTAGAACTTATGTCTGATACAGGTGCGCTGGAATTATGTATCAGTTGTAGTGCGAGCTGCAGTAGCAGGCGCAAAAGAAGAAAGTGAAGCTACAACAACAACAACATCGACAACAACAACAACAACAACATTAGCAGCAGCAGCAGCAGCAGCAACAAATTTTGTAAAAACAACAAAAGCGAAAAGAAAAAATACATATATATTTGTACACAAGCAACGCACACGCAACGTGCTCGCATCAGGCCAAAAATTAAAAAACTTTTGCAATGTCCAATGGTGACGATGTGCTAGACAACTGGGAAGAAATTGACGAGGCAGGCGTGAGTATTGAATGACATTACAACAACAACAGCAACAAAATCGTCGAAAATGCTCTCTCGAATCTCTTATAGCTTTGCATGACGCTGCAAACGAAACTGCAAACCGCCAACGACGACACCAGTAGCAAGTTTAAGCCCGCCTTGACAGCTGAACCCGCAACAGCTGCTGCGCCTCAAGCGGCAGTCGCCTCAAGCAAAATGAAATTGCTACAGCGCCCACAGAGCCTGCAGGAGGGCAGCGGCACAACGGCCACGGCGCCTAAGCAAATAATGATTGCCAAGAAACCGCCGCCGCCAGCGCCGTCGTTGGATGATGAATCGAGCACAGCGCCCGTTATGATGGTGCTGCACAAGTCCAGTAGCGAGTACGATGCGGCCAATTATGCCACGCCCATTAGCAACCAAACGGTAAAGATATTGCGCAGACCGGCACAAGCTGAGGAGCGTCGTGATACAAACGGTATACGACCCAAGCAGCCCATCAAGACGCTGCAGCAGCGGGAACAGGAATATGCACAGGCCCGTCTGCGCATACTGGGCAGCGCCAAGAATCCAGAGGACGACAAGCCGTTAGTATATAACTATATAATACTGTAACACCTATTGCAGATACACAACACGCACGATTTTTATGTTTATCGTTAATGTTGCCTGGCTTTATACCCATGCAGTGGCTATTATGTATTATAATTCAGTCACGAATTGAAGGAGGCGAAGAGACAGGATAAATCTTTTGTCCGTCTGTTTAAATGATAACGAGCTTCCCTTCACAATATAACATAGCTTTTATAGTAAACTAAATCAACTAACGTTCAAGTTTCATAGGAACTATTTACTTTTTGTGATAAAAATCTAACGATCTTTATTATGCTTAGCATTTATTACCATCTGCAAATAGTTATCCAAACTTCACGAACCTTTCCTCTAATACCCTCGATAGCATACCTTAACGTTCTTAGGATCGCATGCTAGTTTTTGCCTAGAACTAAATTTAAAGAAAAATAAACTATTTATTGTACGCAGTGCTTCGCCGACAACGCTCGTGGTGCTGTCAACCCCAGTTCAAGCTGAAGTGCCTACGTCGCCTGCAACTTTCAACTTTAACAACAACAACAACAATAATAATAACAACAGCGGCATTGTTGCTAGTGCTGCACCTGGCATGCATCGCTCCAGTTCGGCACCAAAGATGTCGCAAACAGCGCCCATCTACAATAACTATAACAACTATTATCAGGCGCCGCCGACTCAAGCAGCCATGGGCTACTATTATCAGCAGACACCTTCCATGCATCAGCAACAGCAGCAGCAGCAACAACAAACGCCACCACACTATAACCAACGGATGTCTCCATATGTTGCAGGCGGAGCAGCAGCAGCAGCAGCGGCGGCAGCAGCGCCACCAACCCCCAACTCTCAGCAGAGTTGGTCGCCAGTTGTCGGTGGCAGCGTCTCGGCGGCGTTGTTGCGCCAGCAATCGTTGCATACAACGTCGCTGCAACAGCATCAGGCGCCGCCACCGCCGCCGCAATATGCACATCCATATAATGATAATGTCTTACGGTTGCCACGTGGTCCGTGTCCCAATGGCACAATTGGATTTCAGATGCGTCGGTAACAGGCGCCTGGACGCAACAAAAATTCTTTTATTTCTATTATCCCATGCCAATTGAACGCATGCATTCAAAATTGTCATTCTGAGATTGCATTAAGTAATTTTTTTTGCTTTATATTTATTCATTTTGTTTGTGGCACATCGTAACGCTGCAGCAACCACTATGTAAACAAATTTATGACGGAGTTTGGTAGTTATCTTGTAAATTTTTACAAACAACAACAAAAAACAATACAATTTTTTAATGCCTACTAATAATAATAATAATAACAAAACCAACAAATGCAAAACCGAAAGAAAAATACATATTTTACAAATCGAGCAAATGTTACTTGATCGTGTGTTTTCCAACAGTTCAAATTTCTTTATAATATCAAAATGGAGTGTTCCTATTACAGCTTAAGTAAGTATTCAGACTTCGGTCCAGATCAAACTCGTAAACAGACTGTGGCTTAAGCATTTTTATAGATCTCCGGAGACTTTGAGTATTTAAGCAAATACAAAAGAAATTCGCATTTAA